AGCTTTTTGACAAGTGAAAAACAACCTTTAGTAAAATAAAGAAAWAACATTCAGGCCAACATGTGACAGTACACCCAGCCCAAATCCCTAAAGTAAATAAATAAAAAACAAACAACTTGTGGCATCTCAGCGTTTTTCTGCCAGCAGTTTATTTTGAAAGGATTAAAAACTGGAACCTATGGTACTTCATGGTACTTCCTCGTTTTTATTGATGCTTTCTGAGCTACCTGGGAAACATGAGACCGTACTTTGTTACACAACYTGTTGTAAATATTCTGACGACCAGCTGCACCTTTCCATGATGGGAACCACACTCCGTAGTTTATTACTTCCTCCCTGCCCAGGAAAACAAAACAAATCTTTGGTGAGGTTTTTAATGCGCTAAAGAAAGAGCGGCCCACGGCTGGGTCGTGGTCCATGTTCAGCATCATGTGTAAATAACGTGTCTTGTTCTCGGTCTCTCAGACGCTCACCGCTCTGCTTTCATGATGGTTTTACAAAAAAACAAAAACAACAGAAACGCTGTCTAATGGTCTCCWTCATCAATAATACAGAGAGGCTGAGAGCGAGGCCTCAGCACTTCACAAAGAGCTTCTTCTTATTAATATCAGTCTGTATTTATTTTACCGTACGGCTCTTTAACTCATCGATAACAGATTCATGATGATCACATGTAAGAGTCTGAGTTACTGATCAGCTCAGAAACACACKAAGCAAAACTTTCATTTCATGTTTAAAGTCCTGATCTCAATAAAATTATAATATTCTGAAGAAAATAAAGTTTTTRCCAAATTTAATGAATATTTCTGCACATTTCTGTCAGAAAAGGCTTTATGCTGAGAACTGAAGCAAAAATTAACAACACCAACTGATTTAAAGCAGCAAAAGAAYTACAGCTACAAAGACAAATAATTTCTAAATGCTAGCTAGAACAGATAAACTTGAGCTACAACATAAAAGTACCAAAAGTGTTAGCTAAAAGAAGCCTAAGGCTCACCAAAAGCTAAAAGCAACAGCATTGTATGTAACTGTTAAAGGTAGCAATTGGCTAGCTCAAAGTTCAAAATAACAAAAAGCTAACTTAGAGTAGCAAAGCTGTAGCTACAAATATTTAAAAGGCTAGAAAATATAACAAAAACTCACTAGAATCTAAAACTTGCAGAGCATTAGTGTAAAGCTAACAGCATCAAAATGCTTGCTAGAAGCTAAAAGTTGCAGAATGGTAGGTTCGAGCTAAAAAATATTGAAAGCCTTGCTAGAAGCTAAAAGTCAAAGGATAGCAGTTACAAGCTAAAAGTAGTAGAATGGTAGAWRCACGCTAAAGRAGCAAAAGGCTTACTAAAAGCTAAAAGTCAAAGGATAGTAGCTAAAAGTTAAAAGTAGCAGAACAGTAGGTTCAAAATAAAAMAAGCAAAAGGCTTGCTAGAAGCTAAAGGTTGCAGAATGGTAYCTAAAAGTTATAAGTAGCAGAACATTAGGTTATAGCTAAAAGCATCAAAAGGCTTGCTAGTAGAAGCTAAAAGTCAAAGGTTAGTAGCTAAATGCTAAAAGTAGTAGAATGGTAGGTTCAAGCTAAAAATAGGACAAGGTTTGCTACAAGTTGCAGAATGGCATCTAAAAGCTAAAAATGCCAATAGGCTAAAGCTAAATGTAGCAAAAMMCTTGTTAGAAGCTAATAGGTGCTACATGGTAGCTAAAAGAAGCAGAAKAGTAGGTTCAAGCTAACGGTCAAAAGGCTTGCTTGAAAATGAAAGTTAAAGATAGCTAAAAGCTAAACGTAGCAGAATGGTAGGTTCAAACTAAAAGCATCAAAAGGCTCGCTAGAATGTAAACGTCAAAGGATGGAAGCTAAAAGCTAAAAGCAGCCGAATAGTAGATTCAAACTAAAATAATAAAAAGGCTTGCTATGAGCTAAAACTTACAGAATGGTAGCTAAAATCTAAAAGTATCAGAACGGCAATTTCAAGTCAAAAGTATCAAAAGGCTTGCTAAAAGCTAAAAGCTAAAAGGATGGTAAAAGTAAAAAAGCTAAAATTATCAGAATGGTAGCTAGAATAACAGGAGCAAAAAGACCCACCTCCTGAATTAYCTGACATTAGGATTTGGCTAAAATAACACAAAGTACTCAGAAGGAAAAACAACAACATGAATGCTGAGTCATCATTCATWGCGTGAAAGATGACTCGGGGGTTTTGTGCAGCACTGTTCTCATATCTGGGCCAGTTTTTAACGTCACCTGGCAGAATCGTCAGGTCTGACAGGGACATTAATGAAAGCAGGTGGTGCTTCAGAAGAGGTCAGGTTTTCAGCTGTTCTCAGGTGTCACACCTGGTGCTGGTCCACCTGACGCCCACCTGTTATTACCTAAACTAAACTCACGTTCAGTGGCTGCTGTGGCAGATGCTGACTGTCTCTGGAGAAGACAGGAAGTAGGTTRGGTTTCTCAGTAAAGTCCCTCGATGCTGAGAGGAAGAACGAGCAGAGAGAGTAAAACTCCATGCCCGCACCTGTTGCATTTATTCTGTTTCATTTCTCTGTAATCTCTTTGAAATCTGTCCTCGCCTGATTCAACGTGTGGAATCCTGCAGAGACATTTCAGCTTCCTGTGTTTAAAGAGAAGTTTCTCAAAAACACCTCAGAAAAATGAGTCAGGTTTGTGGGAAAAGTTCTCGTCTTCTTTAGAATCAGTTTCTTTCTATGCTGAGAGTTGTTTCCCTGTTTTTTGTTGTTCCGTACATTTTTAAACTGAACAACTTCCACACACTGTACTCATTAATGATCAAAACATTTAGTTAGCCTTTTGCTAAATTTAGCTTTTAGAACTACTTTATTACGCAAAGCTTTTTGTTACTTTTTTCTGCTTTTAGCTAACCTTTTGATCATTTTACTTTTCTTGCTAGCCTGTGGCTACATTTAACTTTTACAAACTGTTCTGTTACTTTTAGCTTTCAGCTAGTATTTTGCTAGTTTTGAGCTAGCCTTCAGCTGCTTTTAGTTTTTAGGAACTATTCGGCTACTTTTAGCATTTAGTTAGTATTTTGCTAATTTTAAGGTAGATGTAGAAAAACTAATTACATTTTGCTAGTTTTAAACTAGTCTTTTCTTGCATTTAGTTTTTAGGAACTATTTGGTTATGTTTAGCATTTGCTAGTTTTACATTTTAAGCTGATTTTTAAGCTACATTTAGCTTGTAGATATTGTTCTGTTTCTTTTAGATTTTAGCTAGCCTTTTGCTGAATTTAGCATTTAGTAGCATATCTGTTACTTTTAGCTTTTTCTAAGCATTTTTGCTAGTTTTGTGTCTTAAACTAGCCTTTAAGATATATTTAGCTTGTAGATATTGTTGTTTCTTTTAGCTTTTAGCTAGCCTTTTGCTGAATTTAGCATTTAGTAATGTTTGTTACTTTTAGCTTTTTCTWAGCATTTTGCTACTTTTGTATTTTAAGCTAGCCTTTAAGATATATTTAGCTTGTAGATATTMTTCTGTTTCTTTTAGCTTTTAGCTAGCCTTTTGCTGAATTTAGCATTTAGTAGCATATCTGTTACATTTAGCTTTTTCTAAGCATTTCACTAGTTTTGTGTTTTAAGCTAGCCTTTAAGATATATTTAGCTTGTAGATATTGTTCTGTTTCTTTTAGCTTTTAGCTAGCCTTTTGTTGAATTTAGCATTTTGTAACATTTCAGTTACTTTTAGCTTTTTCCAAGCATTTTGCTAGTTTTGTGATTCAAGCTAGCCTTTAAGATACATTTAGCTTGTGGGTATCATTCTGTTGAATTTAGCTAACCTTTTTTACATTTAGCTTTTAGCAACTATTCTGTTACATTTAGTGTTTTTCCTATCTGTTTGCAAATGTTAGTTTTGAGCTAGCCTCTTGCTGTGTTTAGCTTTTAGGACTCATTTTGCTACTTGCACCCATTTCCAAGCTTTTTGCTCGTTTTCTTTTAAGCTAGTCTTTTGCTGCATTTAGCTTTTAGAATTAATTTAGTTACTTTTAGCTTCCAGCTAGCCTTTGATACTTTTAGCTACCCTACCACTTTTTAAATTAGCATAATTTATACTTTTAACCTCTTGCTAATTTTTTTTAGCTGGTGTTTTGAACTTTCTGACTTTTAGCTTTAAAAACTCAGTTTTAGCTTCATTGGCAGATTTCAGCCAAGCCGTTTAAGCACATAACAAAGCAATTTTTGTTTTTATGAAAACTTGAACAAAAAAAGGTCACAGTTGAAGATGGCTAACTCCAGCTAACAGATTTTGAGCTAAACTTTGGTGTGGTAGTAGCTGACAGTCAACAACAACACAAACTCTGAGAGCTCAGTGTTCTGGGAGTTTAAAGAGGGAAGCACCGTTTGAAGAAGCAGGATGTGTTTAACCCAAACCAAACAACAGCAGAGAAAGGATGTGGCCAGCGACCGGTTCTGGTCGTAATCATGTGGACTCCAGAACCGAGCCTAATATCGACGTGTATCAGAGCTGAAATCTTGTTTCAGAGCTCGAGGAGAAAGTTTAATGTTGGAGCCACAGCCGCCGCAGGCGGAAGAAGACGCAACAAAACCGCTTGTTTTCTATTTCTCTCCTCCTGTTGCCCGAACAGAACCGAACCGCTTTGTTTTTTACCTTTGTACTGCAGCGGGTTGCCGGTTCGAATCCTCACGGTTCCGCTTATGGACTCTCCCGGGCCGTAAACCACCTTGTTGTTGGTGAAAGTGATGTCAAATTCCTGCAGCTTCCCCATGACTCTCTCCGCTCCGACTCGAGCAGCTCGCGCTGCTCGCTCACCTGCTGCTGCCGCCAAGCCCCGCCCAACAACACGCCGTGACGTCACCCGGAAAAGTAAAGGCTCTTCTAACCAAAGTTTGGTTTCTCTAAACAGTGACACCCCCTGCGGAAAGTTGTGTTTTTATTATTTTTATTTGTTTATTCATTTATTTATTTCATTAAAAAAATAAACAAAACATACAAT